CTTTTTTGCTGTAACTCAGCCAGTTGGCACCTGATTTCTCCATACATATCGGACATCCCATCAAACCGTGTGTGCTCCATCCCGAAAGCATGCCATAGGCAGGGAAGTCGCTAATGGTCCAAATGATGGCAGCTTTCATGATAAACATTTTATCTGATGAAACATCATAAGTTGGTGTCCCAACGGCCCACAGTTCTTTCATCTCCTCGATAAGGGGTTGGAGATAAATGTCTATCTTTCGCCCAGGATCCTTGGAACCCGGACAAATTAAAGACAAAAATATGAAATGACTTTTCATGCACATGTCGGGAGGGAGATTGTAAGGAGTTAACATGACCGGCCAACATGAATAGTTCTTGCCAAACCTGCCAAAAGGAGCAAATCCATCTGAGCACAATCCCAGCCGCACATTTCGTGGCTCCATAGCAAACTGAGGATGACAGCGGTCAAAGTGTCTCCAGGCTTCACAGTCCGAAGGGTGAGCCATCATACCCTCGTTGGTTTCGTGCTCAACATGCCATGTCATGTGTTTCGCAGTAGCAGTCGAAGCGTACATCCTCTGCAGTCGAGGAGCTATTGGGAGGTAATACAGTTTAGACAGTGCAGACCTATGTCGTGGTTTCTTTTTACCTAGACGAACAGGTTTGTATCTGTCTCCACCACAGAACTTGCAGAACTCAAGTGCCTCATCCTCCTTCCAGAACAGCATACACCCTTCCGGGCACGCATCAATTTCAACACAAGGTAGCCCCAACTTAGACATTAACTGCTTCATGTGGTAATATGAATCCGGAAGGGTATGATCTCGCGGTAGCATCCCTCCTACTGACTGCAAGACTCTATTCATGCAAGTTTCAGGGAGACTGTATTCGGCTTTTATGTTCATGAATTCAGTAACGGCGGATAGCTGAGAGTATCCCTCACAATCAGCATACAGAGGTTGGTCGGCAGCTTTTAGAACATCCTGAAATCTCTCAGCCAAACCTTCATCCACATAAGGTTGATAAAATGTCGGATTTTCATCCGCATCTGGTTGATACGAGGTTGAGGCTTCAGGGGGGTCGTTAGGTGGTTGTGGGGGGTTGAACTGAGACATCGGTACACCGTATGCGTCATATACCATTTGTTGGTCCCACCTCATTTCAGCACGGTCTCCCCACGCACTCATCTCTGGAGGGACGTAACGAGACGAACCTACCGTTTGTGGTATAACAGATGGATCCAAAGGTTCGCCGTGAGAAGTCCAATTATAATAATTGGGAACAAAACCGACCGCGTACAAATCATACCCAACTTCGTGTGGGTCTTTAAATTTGAGATTTTTACACTTTGAACATGGACATCTTATTTTATCACCACTCATATAAGCCGGATGTTCAAGTGCAAATTCAATAAATTCCCCAACTCCCTCGAGAAAATTTGATTGCATTCCGTACAATACCGCATCTTTATCATACATCCAACTTCTATTTTGTTTATACATTATGCCTGAATATTATAATAAAAAAGTATACACGTTCAAATACTAACAATAATACTAACAAATTTTAAGTGAGTTATTTCACTAAATAATCAACTAACTAATTTTCACTAAATTAAATGAAATGCACACAATTCACAACAATAATTCACAAAATATAAGTAATTACCTAATACTTAAATTTAACTAATATTACAAAAAATTTAAGTAATTTATTAACACTACATTTAAATTAAACATACGTTTAACTAAATTTAACTAATTCATTTAGTTAAATTTAACTAAATTTAACTAGTTCATTCCGTCCTCTTTTAATGCATCACTACGTTTAAACCCACGTTTAGCTAACTAATATAACATAATTAACACATCACTAGCTACGTTTAAACCTACGTTTAGCTAACGAATTTTAATTAAATTATTTTTGTAAACCTACATTTAAACCTACACTAAATTATTACGTTAATGACATTTAATGTTATTAGTACTACACAATTAACAATTCCAATTCACTAAATTAAATAATATGACCAAATTAAACCCAATAATTTGAACATGTATATAAGGTCATTTGAATTAATAAATAATACACAATTACAATAACAATTCACAATACACTTAATTAACACATTACTAACGTACGTTTAACTAACTAATTTCACTTAACATAAAGATCACTACGTTTAAAACTACGTTTAGCTAACTAATTTTAATTAAATTATTTTATAAACCTAACAGTTTAACTAATTTTATGACATTACTACGCTTACAGTTGAATATGTTGTTAATTAATTAACAACATCACTAATTTAATAATTTTAATAATTTAAATTGAACCAACTAATTCTAAATAAAAATAATAATTCAAATAACATACCTTAACTGCATAAATGGGGAAAATGATAGAAGACAGACTACATCCTTCGATCTTTCAAACAGATACTGTATATACTGGGAATGAATTCGTGTGGTTCTGTTGAATGAATGAGCTGCTCCTGCATATATAAAAAATGTAGTCACGGACTTAGTCACGGATTTGTCCGTCACTAAGGAAAACCGTGTCCATTACGCGTCCGATCCGTGTTAATGACATGTAAATGACGTGTTAATCAAAGTAGTCACGGACATAGTCACGGACATGGCCGTGACTAAATTTATCCGTACATAATGCCGTTGCGGATTGATTTATGGGAGATGAAAAATTATTTTTTAAATTTAGTCACGGCTGTAGTCACGGATGTGGCCGTGACTATGTCGCCGGAGTAAAACAAGCCAGGTCGGAAAAACAAACGGGCAATCGGAGGATGTTAGTCACGGACAAATTTCCGTGACTACGCGTAGTCACGGCTGTAGTCACGGTCAAATCCGTGACTAATTTTTTTTTGAATTTTCGTGAATATTCCGTGACTAGTCCGTGACTAGGCTAGTCACGGACCAAATCCGTGACTACGGTCCGTGACTAAACGAGTGTTTTTTTGTAGTGATTTTAAATACATATTTTGGCGCAATGTTTTTCAATAATTTTTTTACTGACTTGATGGTTGAATTTTAAGCTGAAATTTTGTGTACATAATCTAAATTCATGTCGAACATACACACAAAATTTCATAAAAAAACTCCACCGGGAATCGCCTCAAATTGCGGCGGCCAGACGATGGTTCCGATCAAGAGGTCCTAACCGGAATATTACCCTGTTATTAGATTTTTTTATCTATTTAATTTTTTAAATTAATTTGTTGCTACTTGTGCATATCTTAGTTATAATGTCGAATATCTTAATAGCGCTTCAATGGTTGGATTGCCCAGCTATGTCCTTCATTTGAAAATCGGAGCCCCTGCTAATGTTATTGATGAATATTAATCATGCATAAGTTTTATTCAATAGAACGTGATTGGTCATAACCAGATTGGAAAAACAAGTATAACAAGTCATGATTCAAAAAGTTATGAAAGATAAAATTTACATGTTGAAAATCTCATTGTCACATATACGTAGTACATGACAATTTTATTCAATTTCCGAATAAAGCAATTTCTTGTGATGGTAAGTTTTGCAATGACAATCAATAAATGTCAAGGCTAAATGTCATCACATAAAATTTGATTTATACCTTGGGAGAGAATTTTCATTAATGACCAATTGTACATTGCAATACCAAGAGTAATGAGTAAAAATATCTTCTGATATTCATATGTTCAAAAGAAGCAAATGTCATCACCAAAACGGTGAATGTCGTTTATAAAGAGGTTTCCCAAATTAAACCTAACAATGCGATGTTTGGTATGTACGGTGTTACATTACAATGTCACTTTTTAATATATTATCTTTAATTAAATTACTATTCATGATCAACAAAAGTTTGTTTGAAGTAAAATGATTAAATATTTATATATTCTATAAAATATATATCTTATACAATATTCAAACATTCGCAACCTCTGCCCGGGGCAACGCCCGGGTAAAACACTAGTTTGGTCTATGGTTGGGACTTGTGATATTGATTTTAAAATTATCGTGACTTATTAAACACAATTGCACCTATATAGTTTGATCCCAATACTTTGTGGATAGTGTATTGGGAAAATATTGGGTATAATTTAGTCATACGCCAAATAAAGTGTATAAAGCTCGTTCAACGGACATAATGTCATGTGAGCATTAATCTTACGATGTAATGTCTCATTGCCTACGTAATTTTCGATATAATGACCGGTCTTAAAATTTGGATACACAAAGTATTAACCCATTGTAATAGGTTCCCATAGGATCTGTCATGGAGAATAGTGTGCATTTTCAAAGAAATTATTGAATACACTACTACATTTTTAGACCTAACGTAACATTAAAGATGTAACATATCTATAAAAATGTTACATATTTATCAAATGTAACACTTTTTAGGCCTAGTGTAACACTTTCTAGAAGTATAAATGTTGCATTGGGGACTATAAAGTGTTACAATAGGTCTAATGCAACATGAGCAAATGTAATGGTAAAAAAGTGCTACATTTTCTCTAATGTAACACGTTTTAGTGATATTGTAACACTTTTGGGTGTTACATTAGAGGTTGAAATGTTGTAGTGATACTTCGTTAAAATTAATCAGTAAGGTATTGATTATACGATGTGATATGGCTTATCCAATCAAGTATTGTGATATAGTCGTAAGCCAATTGTTATCAACTTGAATGTATACTAGATATTATTTCGAGTTGCAATGGGTTACTAATGTATGATCATTAGTATTCTTACTAATAATACCACGTGGTTAGTATGACTGTCTCTATCACACATTCTACACGACATGAATACTTAGACTCATCATTCGTGCATACAAGTCTTATGGCTTGTATGCACGAATGACCATAACATCGTATGGTCGTATCCGAACATACACAATTCTCATGTCGTAAATTTCGTATAGTGAATGGGTTACCACAAATATACAAGTATTGACAAATGGGTACGACATTTGAATAGTATGTGAAAATAATGGAAAGGCATACCTAATGAGGTAGCCTAGATGTCATATATATAATAAAAGAGTTCTGAGTACATTAGGAAACAAATAAATATGGAAACCTAATTAAAGTATAATTACTCTATTACACCCCCTCAAGCTGTGCAGGGGAAACAATGCGCAGATTGTCCCTAAGAAAAATAAAACGCTGCGGAGATAAACTCTGTCAAAATATCTGCTAACTGAAACTAAGTTGGAACATGACGAACAATGAGATCACCATGGGAGACTCGTTCACGTACAAAATGATAATCAATGCTGATATGCTTACTCCGAGCATGCTGAATAGGATTAGCTGACAAATAAGAAGCCGAAATATTATCACACATCAGTGTGACTGGTGCATGAACAGGAAACCCCAATTCAAATAAGATGGAGCGTATATGCAGAGTATCCTGATTTGTGTATGCAATTGCCCTATATTCAGCGGAAGAACGAGAGACAGTTGGTTGCTTCTTAGCCTTTCAAGAAACCAAATTTGGACCTAGAAAAATAGCAAAACCAGAGGTGGACCGACTGCTATCAGGACAGCCAGCCCAATCAGCATCGGAGTAAGCCTGTATGGTAGGAGTAGTAGTGCTCGGCCGAAATAGTAATCCATGCGAGATAGACCCCTGAAGATACCTGAAAATACGCTTAACAGCCAAAAGATGAGGTGTACGGGGCGCATGCATAAATTGAGAAACCAAGTGAACAGCAAATGTAATATCAGGTCGAGTCATAGTCAAATACTGTAAAGCACCTACCATACTTCTGTACTCAGATGGATCTTCTAGGAGATCCCCATCAGTGAGAGAAAGTTTAGTTCGTGTAGCAAGAGGGGTACGAACAGGCTTAAGAGTGTGAAGATGAAATCTGGTGAGAAGATCAGACACATATTTTTGCTGAGATAAAAATAAACCAGATGGTACTCGAACAGCTTGGACACCTAGGAAAAAGTGGAAATCCCCCAAATCCTTCATAGCAAAATATCGACCCAGACATGAAATAAATGTGGAAATAAAGGAAGGGGAATTACCAGTAACAATAATATCATCAACATATAAGAGAAGATAGATCACTAAAGAACCATGTCGATAGATAAACAAAGAATTATCAGACTTACTGCAAACAAAACCATGCGTCAACAAGAAACTACTAAATCTGTAAAACCAGGCTCGAGGAGCCTGTTTGAGACCATAAATAGCCTTACGGAGGCGACAAACATGATTAGGAAACTGGGGATGAATAAAACTAGGAGGCTGACGCATATATACTTGTTCAGTCAGATTACCATGTAAAAATGCATTTTTAACATCTAACTGACGAATAGCCCAATTAAACAAAACAACAAGAGATAAAACAATACGAACAGTAGTGGGCTTAACGACAGGACTAAAAGTTTCAGAAAAATCCACACCAGCTTGTTGAGTAAAACCTTGAGCCACCAGACGAGCCTTATACCTGTCAACTGACCCATCTGAATTAAATTTAGTTTTATAAATCCATTTAGACCCGACCACATTTTTACGAGGATTAAATGGTACTGAATCCCAAGTATGATTATCAATGAGTGCATTAAACTCCTCTGCCATAGCCTCTCTCCATTTAATATCCTTATTAGCTATAGAAAAGCAAGAAGGATCACATGCCGAAATATATGTTTTGAGATTAAAAATAGTTTTTGGTTTAAAAATCCCAGATTTGGCTCGAGTTTGCATCGGATGACAGTTCACCGGGGAAGGTGCAGGCGGAGAAGGTGGCGGTGTCGCCGAGGATGGTGGAACTGGCAGATGTGGGGTGGTCGGAGGAGAGGATGGAGGTGTTGTGCAGATTGGTGAACTGGACCGAGAGGAGTCAGATGAGGACGTGGATTTGGGAGTGCTAGGGAGGTCGGAAGTGGGTATGAAGAGGTCGGAAGTGGCAGGCACGGTCGGAAGTGGGGTGGTCTCGGCTGGGTGAAGAAGGTCGGGTGAAGAAGGTGGGGTGGTCTTGGCCAGGTCAGCAGGGTTGTGGTTCGGTCGAGAGGTAGGTGGGGTAGTATGGGCTGGATTGAATGAAGGTAATGTGCTCTCATGTAGCTGGACAATATTAGAGGAAAAATTGGCGGTTTTTGAGGAAGAAATCAATTCGGAGTATGGAAAAATATTCTCATAAAATCGAACATTCCTATTGATGTAAATCTTGCCACTAATAGGATCAAGGCAACGATAACCTTTATACTCAGGGGCATATCCTAAAAACACACACAAAACGGATCGTGGAGATAATTTATTTGCAGATGTGGCAATAAAATTCGGAAAACAGGCACAACCAAATACACGCATAAAAGAGAAGTCAGGTGAGTGGTGGAATAATTTTTCAAACGGAGAAGCACCATTTAAGTTAGGAGTGGGAAGACGATTAATAATATAGGTAGCGGTAAACACAGCATCAACCCAAAAAATAGCTGGCATTTTTGCTTCAAGAAGCATAGTGCGAGTTCATTCAAGTAAATGCTTATGTTTACGTTCAGCTATACCATTTTGTTCTGGAGTGTCAGGGCACGATTTCCTAAACAAAATGCCATTATTGAGAAAAATGTCACGCATTTCATGATTATCAAACTCACCCCCTCCATCACTTTGAAAAATTTTAATCTTAGCATTAAATAAATTTTCCACCATTAATTTAAAATCCTTGGGTACTCCACCCGACTTATGATCTACCACATATCATCCTAGATAAGGTCTATATCATAATCAATAATCAAGACTAAACCAATTCTTAAAGCCTAAGCATAATCATCCATGCAATTCATGCATTAAAAATCAACATATAGGCAAAACAGTGCCAAACCGGCGCCGGTTTTGACATAACCGGCGCCGATTATTAATTAAATTAATTAAACCGGCTATGCCGATCCATAACCGGCGCCGGTTTTGCCTATAACCGGCGTCGGTTACCCCCTGGGTAACCAAGTCAACATTTTCGTTGACTCGCCATTTCAAACCCGATTTGCGTCAAACTTAATCCCAACGTGTATTAAGTTATAACCAAGCCTTTTATGCCCCTTTTATCCTTTAAAACATCATATATGTTTTTATAAACATTTTCATATCATACTTCGTTTATGATATCAATGGGTAATACATATAAGCCTAATCACTTTGGATAATCACATGTTTAAGCATCTTTTAAACATCATAATGAACACATATAACATTTACTTAGGTAATCTCATAATTAACCCAAGAGTTATAAGACATTAATCCGTCCACTCACCTTGAACTAGCGTTATGAAGTTCTACCCTTCTTGGTTGAACTCCGGTGAAACTCCGGCGACTTTTGGTCAACTCCGGCGATAACTCCGGCGACTTTTCCAACTTTGTGAAATCACTTGAAATACCCTTTACAAGTGCCTAACAAGGTTTTATAATCATAAAACTCATATTAATACAAATAACCTCTAAAAGGTTATTTTCCGGTGAACCGGTCGTTTTGGCTTCTAAGTCCGTTCTTGGACTTAGAACTACTTCCAACCCCTTGTTCCACACTTATACACATGTGGAACCATACTTGGGGTACTTCATATGCTATGTAAGTCATATGAAGTTCAAAGAGAGGAGGAAAGAGTTACTATGGAGTCATTACCTTCATTATCCAAGCCTTTCCTCACTTTTTCCCTCCTTAAACTTCCTTTGTGGACTTGTCCTTGTTTGAGCTCAAGGTGAAGCTATGGAAGATGGTGTGAAAGGCTCTTCCCTCGTTCCTTGGGGTGTGCTGGTCGAGAATGATGGGTGAGAGAGAGTGGAGAGATTGTTTTGTCTCACTTAACCAATGAGTGAATGGGAGGGGGCCCTTTGGCTTTCAACCATGTTCCTCACATCTCTTCATGCATCATCATGTGTCCTTCCAGCTCTCAATAGTCATCTCTTGCACACAAAAACGTGGGATGGACCCCACTCATGTGGGAGGTCATCCCAACTTGTCCCGAAATGTACAATCGGTCCCGAAAGTTGTATTTCTCGGACTGTTTTAACTATATTTTATTTTATCGGGTCAAATAAAATATATAGTATGTTATCAATCATTACGGGCCTTTATAATGAGTATACTTTCCCCAACTCTAATTGGAAGTCTCCGAAATTCATTTCGGACTGTTATCCGATAAATTACCCAAAACTGGTAATTGAGCCTCGTTTGACCAATCTGTCAACCCAATGCCTTTCTTATGGCCCAAATGAATGTCCACCACCATATAACTATTATCTATACCAAGATGAATAAAATATGTAGTCTCAGAAATATCGGGTGGTCCCCGCTCCTGGTGCGGGCCCCACGTGCAATTTATTATTCACGCAAAAGAATTAACAAAAATTTACAACCTCCTAAATTCATCAACCATTTCATAAGGTTAAATACATAATTTACATAAAAGTAAATATACTTGGGGACGGTGTTACATGTTTTCCCATTGTAATTATTCAAATGTCGTATTCCCAAGTATTTAACACTTCAGTGTATAAATATTTGAAATGAGATCATCCGATGTCGTATTCAAAATTTAAGCCAATCTTCGTGACTCGGTTGATTTAGTAAGCCTGAAAAACACTAAATCTTCAGTGTTTACTAAACAAATTTAGACTTCATTGTGTATAAATCAAGTGTTGACTTAACATGACTCGAATGACTGAAAAACACTGGAGACATCTGGAGTGGCTGACCTGGCGCTGGGGATTGCTGACCGTACGCCTGGGGTTGCTGGCCGAACTGATTACGGCCACGGCCACGCCCGCGTCTGTGGCCACGCCCGTGTCCGCAGCCACGTCTGCCGCCGCGTCCCCCCCGATAAGACTGCTGCTGCCCGGCAGCATGAGCTACGGCCTGAGTGCCTCCCGCCGAGGTGCTGGCCGAAAATGCAGGGGCACCAATCGATGATTCAAGAGATTGTTGATATTGTAAGTGCGCCTCTTGATGAACTAATTTGGTGCATAATTTGTCAAAGGTAAGGCCTTCAGGAAAAAGTGTTAGCGGTCCAACAAGTGATTCATAACCCGGTCCCAATCCATAAAGAGTATGTTGTAAAAGATCAAAATGACACCGGGGAATTAATGTTTTAACTCCATGGAACGAGCAAGGCTTGCTGCCATAAACCGGGATTCCAACTTTTCCCAAATTGAAGCGGAATTCTTAAGAGTGTGAACTTCCATCAAAAGTTCACGAGAGAGGGTAGCAAACAGCCAGGCACAAATGGTTTGATCCAATTTTAACCAATGATAATATTCAGGATTCATTGAAGGAGGCTGATATAAATCATAGGTATGTAAAGGTGGAGCAGGAAGCGAACCATCAAGAATACCTAGAACACCATTCGCGACCAAGAATGACTCAAATTGAGTGTGCCATGGTAAATAATCTTCAACCTTTAATAATTTCGTGGTAACAATTTGACTGATTGCAGAGCCAAGAGTCATGCCTTGCGCCAATGCAGAGAAGGAAATTGGAATGGAATTGTCTGATTGACGACGGCCTATAGGCTCGGTCGTGTGAGGTATATGCAAACCAGGAGCTCCAGAGAGAGTGGGACCACCAAATCTTGCTCGGACAGCCGCGGCACTGCTGGATTCGGCGTGTGAGTCAACATTGAACAACGGTGGCGGCCGGATTGTAGGATGAGTTGGGGTCCATGTAAATATTGGTGGGACCCAAGATGTGTCTAGCGGCGAGCCCGAGCCGTGTTGAAGAACGGCGGACTGCAGCGGCACTGTCAAGGAGTCTCCATGGGAAGGTGCGCTCATCACCGGCACGGCAGCCACCGGCGTGATGGTCGCGGCAGTGGTGCTGGGAGCGGCTTGAGTCTCGGCGGCGGAAGCAGTGGCCGAAGACATGGGGAAAGATAGAGAAAAAAAATTAGAAACTCAGGGCTCTTGATACCATGTGAAAATAATGAAAAGGCATACGAAATGAGGTAGCCTAGATGTCATATATATAATAAAAGAGTTCTGAGTACATTAGGAAACAAATAAATATGGAAACCTAATTAAAGTATAATTACTCTATTATAGTATGGGTTGAAGACTTGAATGAGATTAGTATGAATGGATTCAGTGACCGGCGACCAAATTAAACTGAATACGATGTCTTTGTTCAACTAAAATTACGAATCATGTAACAATTTGTAATGGACTTGTAAATCGGATGATCCAATTAAACAGTTGATGTATGTCAAACAATTGAGATAAATTGTGTTCGATTTAAAATGGGAAAAAACAATTGGATCAATGGGTATACACATTAAGTTGTTTTCTTTTGGACTGTTTTCAGTCCCAGACCAGACCAGACCAGACCAGATCAGAGCAGAGCAGACCAGACTTAAACAGACCGGACCAGACCAGACTTAAACAGGCCAGATCAGACCAGACCAGACTTGGATAGTTATACGTAGTAAAATACACAGAGACCAGACGTTTACCAGACCAAACCAGTTCAGACCAGACCAGACTTAAACAGACCTGACCAGATCAGACCAGACCAGACCAGCAAATTTCAGTCCAAATGAAAACATTCTTGGTCTAAATCATTTAGAGGCTAAATGGTATATATTCGTTTGGGATAAATAGATATTGTTTTTGGACTCGGTTCATTGGGAATACAAATTAACCCCATGGGACATCGGACCATAATTTATAGTTAAATTTCCAATTATTATTGGAAATGCGAATGGCCAATTTGTGTATTACAGTCTAAATGGGTAGAGCAAATTTGGACCTTCGGTTAACATAATAGCGAATTGTTACATACAATTGTTTTATGTTACTAGGGGGTATAATAGTCGGTGAACACTTGCAATGTCAACATAATTTTTGGATCTGTATTCCCTTATACTACGTAGATGATTATAAGGCACTGTCACTAAAATGTTTTTGATCATATAATTAAGTATTTGAATATGTAGAAAAGGGGAATATATGCGAGCCAAAAGTCTACTTCTTTTTCTTCCTTGCCTTCGTATATATACAAGATGTTTTACAAAGGAGAATGAATTTACGATGGAGAATTCTTCTCCAATCAGCACACTAACGTACATAAAACAAGGAAAGAAAATATTCCTAATAATGCTACTCTACAAAAACGTACGTACATAACTAAGGCAAGTAAATAATATGCTATCAAGAAACATAATATGTCTCAATACCCCCCTCAAGTTGGAGCATGAGGATCCCAAATGCCCAACTTGGATGCTAAATAGGAGAATTGTTGAGCGCCAAGAGGTTTCGTAAAAATGTCTGCTATTTGTTCAGCAGAAGACCTATAATGAGTAGAGATAGTGCCGGCCTGGATGTGATTGCGAATAAAGTGACAGTCAAGCTCAATGTGTTTAGTGCGTTCATGAAACACTGGATTAGAGGCGATATGGAGCGCAGCTTGATTATCACAAAACAAATCAGCCGGTTGCGAGTGTGGAACCGCGAGAGACTTAAGAAGTGCCTTTAGCCAAATAAGTTCGCAGGATAAGGTGGCCATAGACCGGTATTCAGCCTCAGTAGACGAACGTGAGACGGTAACTTGCTTCTTTGTACGCCAAGAAATAGGAGAGTAGCCCAAGGTTACAAAATACCCGGTCACGGAACGACGAGTAACAGGACAAGTAGCCCAGTCAGAGTCACAATACCCAGTAAGATGTAACGAGGAGTCTGAGCGTAATAGAATACCTTGACCAGGATGTCCTTTTAGATAACGTAGGACTCGAACAACAGCGTCCCAATGAGCTTGCCGCGGTGTTTGCATGAATTGGGCCAAAACATGAACAGAGTAAGAGATATCGGGACGAGTGAGAGTAAGATAAATGAGTTTCCCAACCATTCGTCGATATCTCTCGGAATCAGTAAATAGCGGGCCACTATCAGTATAAAGATGATGATTTTGAATCATCGGAAATGTTGCCGGTTTGGAACCACTCAAGCCAGCTTCATGTAAAATATCCAATGTGTATTTCCGTTGACATAGAAAGATGCCTGTAGGATTCCGGGCAACCTCAATTCCAAGAAAATATTTGAGACAACCCAAGTCCTTAACCGGAAATAATTTAGAAAGAAATTGTTTAAAAGAGGATAACCAATCTAAATTATTTCCGGTGATTAGTAAGTCGTCAACATAAATGAAAATACACAAGATATTATTGCCACGCTTGAGAGTGAACAACGAGTAGTCAGCATAGGACTGAGTGAACCCATAAGATTTTAAAGCAGAGGTCAACTTAGAAAACCAGCATCTAGGAGCCTGACGAAGTCCATAGAGAGATCTAAGTAAACGGCAGACCTTTCCGGGAGAGGAATAACCCGGAGGAGGATACATGTAAACTTCTTCATGGAGATCACCATGAAGAAATGCATTATCAACATCCATCTGATGGATATGCCAATGGCGAGATGCAGCAACAGCTAAAATAGTTCGAACAGTAACCATCTTGGCAACCGGAGCAAATGTGTCATGATAGTCAATTCCCTCGACCTGACGGTTGCCACATATAACAAGACGCGCTTTGAATCGTTCAATAGAGCCATCACTACGATATTTGATTTTGTAAACCCATTTAGAGCGTATGGGTTTCTTGCCGGGAGGAAGTGACTGGAGAGTCCAAGTTCCATTCTTTTCGAGGGCTTCAATCTCTTTTTGCATAGCTGCACGCCATCGAGGATCACGTACGGCCTCACCATAATTTTTGGGTTCAGTGGCAGAAGATATAGCTCCTAGAAATGCTCGATGCTGTAAAGAAAATTTATCATATTTTATATAATGAGTAAGGGGATAAGGAGTACCTGAAGAAACAATTGGAGGATGAACGACGGGGGAGTCTATTTTTACTGAATGAAGCCGCAAATAATCAGAATGCCAAGATGGTGGGCCACGTGAGCGAGTACTACGGCGAGGACCTTGTGGAATGTTGACAAGAGTCGTTGATGGAGAAACATGGTCAGTGTGTTGACTAGGAGTGTCTTCACATAATTGCTCCAGGGAGGTACCATTATGTTGTCCTGACTACATGTGAGGCAAGTGGGGTCCATCATTTCCTGGAGGTTGCATGGGAACTTCAAAGTCATCATATGCAGATAAATGAAAGGGAATGTGATCTGGAGAAGTGGACACGTGCTGGGTTTGATGGTATGGAAAAATATCCTCATCAAAGCGAATATCCCTAGAAACAATATGCCGTTTATTTTCCAAGTCATACACCTTCCATCCTTTTTGAGTAGAAGAATAACCGAGAAACACACATTTGAGACTTCTGGAGCTAAATTTGTCATGGTCTCGATTAACTGAACGAGCATAACACAAACACCCAAAACAACGTAGATTTTTATAAGACGGAGGGTTTCCATGAAGTAACTCATAGGGGCTTTTTCCATTAGTGTTGGGGGAGGGAATACGATTAATTAAATAAACTGCGGTAAGAACACATTCACCCCAAAATTCCAACGGCAAATTAGCATGAAACCGAAGAGCTCGGGCAACATTTAAAATGTGACGATGCTTTCGTTCTACTCTTCCATTTTGTTGTGGTGTGTCCACACAAGATGTTTGGAAAAGAATTCCATGATCCAAAAAATAATCTTTCAAACACATAAATTCGGTCCCATTATCACTTCTAACAATGCGCACATCTTTTGAAAATTGGGTTTTTATCATCGCAAAAAAACGTTTCAGCACCCGTTGAACTTCGCTCTTTTCAAGAAGTAGTTGTACCCAAACAGCTCTAGAATAATCATCGATAATAGTAAGAAAATAACGCGCACCACAACTGGACTTGACACGATATGGACCCCAAACATCACAGTGAATTAAATCAAATGCATTATTAGCACGAGCAAGAGAAGGTTCAAATACATCACGAGTTTGTTTTGCTCTCATACAAGCATCACAAAGTTTACTACTAGTTGCAGTAGATGAAAACTTAGGTAAAGAAGGGATCATGCGAAGAACTTGTGAGGATGGATGTCCTAACCGAGCATGCCACAAATCCTTTGTCTCTTGGACCGCCACTGTAGAAACAACTGCCGGACTCGCACCAATGAAATAATAGACTCCGCCGCGCCATTTACCCAGTCCAATCGGCATCTTCGTAAGTAGGTCCTGTATCACGCAAAACTCATTAGTAAATAAAATATGACACTTTAAGTCATCAAGTAATTTAGCCACCGAGATTAGATTGCATGTAAGGCCTGGCACGTAAATCACATTTTCAAGCACAATATTCTGACAAAAATGAATAAAACCGATGTGAGTGGCATGAGTAGTTTCTCCGTTTGGGAGAATTACGGGTGAAGGGCAAATAATATTCAAATGCGTGAAATCTGCCTTCCTCCCAGTCATATGGTACGAAGCCCCAGAGTCAATAAGCCACCCAACGTCACTGACTATACCTTCAAGTTTCTCAGTCTCTGTTGCTTTCTGATTGTTCACCATATTAAGAATAGCTTGCCACTGATCACTAGTGAGTTCTGGAACAAAATTCTTGCTGCTGCCACCTTCCTCTTTTGGACGCACGACACATGCAATTTTACTATCTCGTGTAGGCTGCGGCTGCCGTCCAGCAAGTGGTCTTCCAGCGACTGCTTTTCCGCTGCCTTGGGCTTGCCCTTTCCCTCGTCCACGACTCTCATTCTCATACCACCAGTCGGGATATTTCCCGGTCCGCTTAAAACAATGGTCATAGTCATGACCAGTTTTCTTACAAAAGCTGCATGTAAGTTTGATATCCCGTCCAGATGGCATACTCATGCGAGATACATCTCGAGCGGTAAAAGCTATAGCATCAACCTTCTCATCTCGGATACGTATCATGTTCCGGTGCCTTTCTTCTTGAACCACCATTTGGTAGACCTTTGATAGGCTTGGCAGTTCATTGGAGCTCAAAATATTGGAGCGAAGAACTCCATAAGATTCACTGTCCAGACCCATAAGAAAATCATGGGTTTTTTCAATTTCAATTTGTTGGTAAAATTTACTTTCAAGATTGCACGTGCAGCCCCCACAAGTGCATTTTGGGATAACACGGAAGCCGTCAAAATCATCCCATATACCTTTGAGTCGTCCATAGTAATTTGTCACACTCTGTCCCTGTTGCCGACACCCACGGATAGCTTCCTTGAGTTCATAGATACGCATGGGGTCGCCAACATCAAAACGGGTCTTCAAGTCGTCCCACAGATCCATAACATTGTCCATAAAAGCTATGTTGGATCGTAACGAAGGATTGATGGAAGTCATGATCCACCCGACGAGCATAGAATTCATAGTGATCCAATCATCAAGATCTTCGGGCTCCTCCGTCGGCATCGGGATGGTCCCATCAAGAAATCCCAACTTCCGTTTTGATCTGAATGCATTTTTCATCGCAATGGCCCATTCTCTGAAATTCGCTTCGCCTTTCAATGTCACCCCACAAATATTCAATCCCGGAAAGTCGGAGGGATGAATATAATAGGGCGAAGATGGGTCATTAATTTTACGTCGGATGACATCATGTTGTTGTCCGTCGTTCACCATTGAGGCAGAAAAAAACGAGTCAACAGTTGCAACAACTGTGCGGAGCAGAAGAAATTGTCGTAGACAATGAAAAAGAAGGGAAAAAAAATCAATGAAACACGCAAGGAATATATTCCCGCTCTGATACCATGTAGAAAAGGGGAATATATGCGAACCAAAAGTCTACTTCTTTTTCTTCCTTGCCTTCGTATATATACAAGATGTTTTACAAAGGAGAATGAATTTACGATGGAGAATTCTTCTCCAATCAGCACACTAACGTACATAAAAGAAGGAAAGAAAATATTCCTAATAATGCTACTCTACAAAAACGTACGTACATAACTAAGGCAAGTAAATAATATGCTATCAAGAAACATAATACGAAGTATGTCTCAATAGAATAATGTAAAATAATTGGTTTAGATACTTATTGTTGCCTGATATCCCAATCCACTCTCGTAAAAATACACTTTAAGGTAGTGAGTCCTAATTATTAGCATACAATAGTAATATGGTAGATTCTACGGTACCCCAAATGTACCGTACCTTTGTCCAAATGGACCAATAAGAATGATGCAGTTGAATTATTTAAATCTAAATTAAAAAACATATAATGATTTGGACCAATCAAATACATGGTAGGTACGGTACCCCATTTTTTAAATGAGTACCGGAGTTGTCACCATGACCTAATAATATTCGACTTTAAACCCAATTACAACGTAGTACTAATTACGAACCCATTGATAAATGAGTTATTTCCAAGTATGATTAAATATGTAGTGACTGATAGGTCAACTCGAAATTGCCATGAGTTCACAGTATGTTGGGTTAAAGTATTCAACGGTTTTATGCGAAATAGTACTTTCCATTTGGGTTAACTCGAAATTGCCATGAGTAAATCACGAAAATGCTAACCAAACATAATTGTTTTTGGTACATATTCTACAATAAATGCGGTACTAATAGTTGACTTTATGGTATGAGCCATTGTACCCATTATTAAGATAGACAAATATGTTGGTATTATGTGGCTAATACCATAATTATACTCATATAGGAATTTACATAATGTAAACTTATAATCAAACAATATTCTAATAATGGGGATCATTGACATATATACGAGAATATACAGTCGACCTATCTTAAGATATGACACGTAGGTTATTGCCCATACAGCGAGATAAAACGGGAAGTCACAATTCTCAAATACCCGGAAATGATTTAGGGAACAATGTAATTGTAGTCTAATACTAACGATCATAATTTTTATTGATTTTTATTGTAAGTTCAAATACTTAAAAGCCAGTGAATGGATAGTCCCTATATTGTGACTTCATTATATTGTGTGATATACAATATAATTTCTGGTGATATATATATAGGCTTGTAAACAATACTGAATATTGGATTATCCCCAGTGAATAACGACTTGAGTAACATCAAATGGACTCAACTAATGGTATAATATTGCCATATTTATCAAACCCATTACAGTTTTTACCATTGCAACTCGAGGATTACATATAAGTCCAATATGAGATTACATTTATATGATACGAACATAAATTAATTATATTCAAGATATGAATTTAGAAATGAAACATATTGTTTATAAGTCCTATCCTAGTATGATATAACGGATTATTGCACAATTATAGTGTACATGAGATAATGGCTTCGTGTATCATCCATTCGGTACGTATTATTGTATGATTTATTAGGTTCATACTTCGAGTGTTACCTGAGAAAGTCATTACCTGAGTATGGGTCGAACCGAGTCAACATACTTGTATGGTTGTTACTCCAGTGATAACAAGTGTAGATTCTTCCATCTTCTTTCTTGGAAGTTGCCAAAGAGGCATCTCACACCTTCTAGGAAGGAGGTATCAAACACATTAACATGGAGAAGATTTCTTGGAGATAGCTAGGAAACTCCCTAGCAATGAGAATGGAAGCTTGAATGCAACTTCCTCATGTCTCCCATATACACCTATAAATAGAGAGTGTATTGTTGTTCATTTGTATCAGTTTAGAAAGTGAGAAAAGTGTGTGAAGAGTGAAAATACGCTTAGAGTAGAAGTGTATTGGTGAGGATTGATTTTTTTGTAATAGTTGAGTGTGAGAGTTTGCTCCTCCTATTGTAATTCTGTTCTTGATATTGAATAGAAGAATTTTCCAATCCCAACAACAAGTACGGTTATAAACAACTTGGCTTAATCATGATTTCGACTTGAATGATACGTATGTTTTCCCTATATGGTCATACGTATGAATTAACAATCTTCGTGACTATGTCAAATAACATTAGAATTGTCTATTTTAAGTGAAAACTACTATGAATACATACAAATTTCGTACAATTACCATATTGTAGTCACGAAATGGTTTATCAGTACGGTATGAATCTTACTAAATTATTCACTGTAATAGAAGTCCACAATTGAGTTAGATAAGTCCACCATAATACCACTACTCGTAGTCTATGTACTTACTATATGATAGGTACATTATATGAATACAGTCGTCATTTACTAAAATATTGTTTGTGACTACGGGAAATTTTGGATCATTTGGTATGCTAACAAATTATCGACAATCATTGACTATTACACCGTTATCTCAAAGACTACTCATATTTATCAATGAGAATACATTTATGGACTCAATACACCCATGATTGTAAGTTATATATACTGACTTGAGTATGATACACAATATACTCAATGATACATCAAATTTTGGGTTCCCAACATAATTTGGGAACCCATCCGTTCATACTCCGAGTTGTATGTTCACCGAGATCACTGTATATTGAGTTCAACTGTGAATAAGGAAAGTCCAAATTAGTAAGTAAACTCACAATATACAATTGGCAACATTTATATGGTGCCAACCATAAATTATTCGGGCAAATAATTTGTTATGGGGATAACACTGTGTACCGTATAAATGTCAATTGTTATACCGTATGACCGGTATACGGTGAGCACCGTATACCGGCATACGGTTTTTGGCAAGCAACGTATTTGGCAAGCACCAACTCTTTATTTTTTATTTCTCTTTTTTTTTTAAATGGTAATAACTTTTTTATTTTTGATCCGATTTTTATAAAATTTATACCAACATTTTTTATTTTTTATGATCTTTCAAATGAGACCAATATTGCCTATGTAATTTTAACATATTATTGAACTATTATATTAACCTATGTAAAATATGTAATTTTATGTGTAGAAATATGTAACTCACGTCCAGTCAGGCCAAATGCAACTCGTGTGTATAAATATGTAACTCTACAAGTAAAAATATGTAACTTTACTTAAAAAAAAATGTAATTCGCGTTCAGACAGGTCAAATGCAACTCGTGTATATAAATATGTAACTTTACGTGTAAATATATGTAACTCGCGTTCAGGCAAGTCAAATGCAACTCGTGTGTATATATATGTAACTCGCGTGTAAAAATATGTAACTTTACGTGTAAAAATATGTAACTTCACATATAAAAATATGTAACTCACATGTATAAATACCTAATACAATAAATTTTTATATACACAGTTTTAAGATAAATTTTGATTTACACAATTATTTTTGTGTATTAAATTTTGTTTGGTTTTCCTTATAATCCAATACACATTAATATAATAGTTCGATAATTTCTTAAAATTACACAAGCAATATTGGTCTCATTTGAAAGATCATGAAAAATAAAAAATGTTGATATAAATTTTATAAAAATAGGATCAAAAATAAAAAAAGTTATTACCATTTTTTAAAAACAAAAGGATAAAAAATAAAGAAACCAGGCCTCAATACTCCGTCGTTTTGCAACCGGGCGCACCATCCTGGTGATGCGCCCGGTTGCACGATATAATTTGCGATAAATGTTGATATGACCCAACGTTATTGCCATAGCCAATTTTCTATGGATATTTAGGTTGAGCTTAAAATTATTGGTACAATTGCCTATGTGGGTTTGGACCAAGAATGTAATCTACATGTAATTGATCTTACGACTTCAACAACTCGAAGTATCTTAGCGGAATGGTAACATTTACTTATAGGGAGTCATGCCAGTATATATTATACTATAACGATATGGTCCACATTTAGACCTATGGGTTACAAACTACCCGGATATATTACAAACGAGTGTTACCGACATTTACCAAGTAGTGTATACTCTACTTTCCCTAGATCAATTGACCCGTATGGAGAAAATATCTCAAGATCATATGAATTGTTGGCCGTATATTCAAGTTACTATTGGGTTCACTGCTGTTCTATCACAATTCTATTGGCTAAAGGGCCAGGGTTTTTACGAATTCTTTCTATGGCTTTTACCATGGAAGTGTGTTAGTAATAGAATTGTTTACGATTATATGAGACGTACCCTATTGGCCAAGATCATACGAAGTCGTAATATATTATGGGTCGCACAATGGATGTAACATTATGTTGTACCATATATGATAAACATAAATCCTAATGATGTCGTGAGTGATCATTGAACGAAACAAGTAATGGCACGATGTAGGTAGACATAGTATGACTTTGGTGAACCCAACTCCCTTATGAGTATACAATCCACCGCAGATGTAAATCCTGTTACTTACTATAAATACATACACCGTAACAACCTAAGTCACTAAAATACACATTAGGGTTACTGTTGTCAATATGATGCCTTATCCGGGTATTTTACTATATCCTACAGATAACGTTTACACGGGAAATTGTAATATGTTACAATATTTGATAGTATATACATCTGTGTACCCCATCTCGTTAATAGAAATACACATATGGGATTATTAACTCTTATCATAATGGTATTGGCATAATGTCATAATGATTTACAATGACCTTAGTAACATTTACTATGACTTGTACTGTGATTTTCTAAGATTGTTAGTGATATCCATGGTACTATAAGTATTACGGGTTCACCAATTTACCCTAATTGGTGATGAGAATCATACACAAATTCATACGCTATAAACCACTCATTTGATTGGGAAAACATATGTTACGAATTACAATATCTTTTAGTCGTATTACTCAAATTTTCTATTCAAAATTGCGATAGGTAAACGAGAATATTGGGTTATACATAGCCTGTAAAATATTTTGTGTATATCCGACTTGTACT